TTGGACCCGTGGACAGTTGTGCCTTTCTCAACTATAAGTTGCAACTAAAAGTAAATCCAGAAACGGAGATCCTCTCTTCTGTCAGTGTTTATACACCGGTAACTTGACTGGCATGGTGACCGTGTGCAGTTGCCAAATCGAGATTATATATTGGAGATTTATAACGGGGCTTTAAAGGTAAAATACAGGGATTTTTTTTAATCAATTAGACACGGCAGAAGCTTTAGTTTTGTATTCGAGACGCTAAAGCTTTGTGATTGAGAAATATTATAAACATTCCCAAGACAAAAAGTCATTCGTTTCTCTATTATCCAAAAAAGTATGTTGAGGAGTTTCTCGCAGGGTTTTGAAAGGATTTTAAAAGGACTACGAAGTCCAAAGTTACAAAGAATCTGATTATTTCTAACTAGCTGACCCGCGTAACTTCGTCTGCGTCTCTCAATAGTAATAAATTTTCTCCGTTTTTGAAACATTCATCATAGGTGCTCCGCTCCTATTGGTCTTAGCGTGATGATATATAGCCTATAGCCTTCCTCGATAAATGGGCTATCTAACACTGAAATAATTTTTCAAATCGGACCAGTAGTTACAGAGATACAACGCGCGTTCAAACAAACAAACAAACAAACTCTTCAGCTTTATAATATTAGTTTAGATGTTAGTAGTGAACACCAAATCATATTTTTAAAACTACATTAGATTTAAAAAAGAAACTAAGGACGTTTCAGAAAAACAATAAAAAATGTTGTTAAGATGACGCGTTCCCTTGTGTTGCTCGGTGTCCTGCAGCTGGTCCAGCCGGATCGATCAGCATTTGTGTCTTATATTCATATTGACGATGAACAGGTAACTTTCATTCATATTATTACTGATATCTGTTTCATTCTTAACTCTCTTGCACTCGTTCAACAGTAGTCGAGTTTGAGCCAGCAAGCAAGTCCAATAATATGTGCAACTTTATCACCGCCCGCCCTCATTGGTCAAATGAAATAACAGCTTTTCCTGGGCTTCTTGTTACACATTTCCTGTCCTTTTCATAAAATTCACATTGCAGGAATCCGAGAGGAAAGCTTTTAGATGTCAAAACGCAGAAAACTGCAGAACCTAGTATGTAAAGACTAATAATATTCTAACTTGGACTTTAAATATTTACTCCTAAAATTGGTTTTTAATCATATTTAGTTATTTTCAAGTTTTCGCTATTCATAAACGTGAGATCAGATTGCCTTGATCGTGGTCATAGGTGGAAAAAACCAGTCTACCCGTGACTACGATCGGGTATCAAATCTAGCGTTTGTACATGAAAACTATGAATATAAAACCTAATCTTCATTAATCAAGTAAATAATATTTCTTATTGGACACTTGAATGAACATTGCGACGGATTTAGTTGACAATAGGTCATTACGTAAACTGACAATTATGGAGCCAGCAAAACGAAGTCAAGGATCTACCAGAGGCATGCTGTAAGATGCAATGTTTAAAGAATTATGCTGTTTTGTCGAATGCCAAGTCTGTTTTTTCTTTTAAGGTTATGTTACCTATGAATCATATAGTTTTATAGATACCCTCTTGTCTTTAGCAGTTAATTTGGGGCAATAGGATAGGGCGAAGGGGTAAGGGTAGCAGCACTTCAAGTCTTTGATGGATAAGGTGATTGGAATAGCTCGAAGGAGCCCGGGTTCACGTGCCCGTATGGATCGTACCACAAATAAAAGTTCATTATTTAATTAAGTTTTCCCATAGAGCGAATACCCAATATAAAATGTTATCGCCACAATAATTAACTCGATAAAGTTGATCCATTGGGGCCACTTACCGCGAAAAATGCTTGCGCGTTTTAAACACAATGCTTTCAATAGCTTAAGTTGAATATGTGGAATTTTCTTGTTCCTACCATAGCTTCCGCATCGATATCAGGGTTTAATGGCGCCATAAACACTTTATGTGCTATTGTAACTAAACGGACACTGAACTGCTCGGTATCGGGAAATATGGCTTAGGTAAGCCAGGTCGTTGAGCGAACTGTGCTGAAGGGACGCCGGTTCAAATTGTAAATATTAAAATCATACCCATTTTCCTTGACAGATTGATTCAGTGACAGGTTTTTTTTTCTTTCGGACATCTGACACACGACGCCATCTTGTTTTTCAACTAAGCAGAGCTTGTACTATGAAACTAGATTGACTGATACAATACTTATTTCTCTGTAAATACATACATAGAAAGATTCAAACTATAAAACAAATATTTGTAGATCATACAAAATATAGTCACTTACCATCAGGAGACCCAACTGCTCGTTTGCCCCCTATGCTAAATGTGTTCATTAACTAAGAAAAGCATTTTTGAAAAAATAAATTCAGGAAACTCGCCTACGTATATTTGGTAACGGAACAGCTTTTCAAAATGAAAACAGCGTTCTTATGTATAATGTTATCAGTGCGATATTAGTTTAACTAATCGTGTGACCGATTCTTACCACAATTCTAAAAATAAATAATTTTACCCATATGTAGATTATATATTGAATGCATATAAATACTTCCTCTTCTGAAGCATAGTTTCCTGTTCCCTCAAATATGTGTTGACTACCTAAACCTTTTACCGTGGGAGAGCCGTGCTTCGGCACGAATGGGCGGGCTCGACCGGAGTGATACCACGGCCTCACAGAAAACCGGTGTTAAGCAATTCTTTCGTTGCCTTTCACTGAGTGAGTGAGGAGCCCGAATCCAGGGGGGATTTGGGCTCCGGTAACCTCACTGACTCGAGCGGGAGGTACTCCAAGGGCAGCAACGCACTTGTGACTTTTGAGTTGCAGGTTTCTATGGGCGGAGATAGTTGCTTACCATTCGGTGACCCGTCTGCCGTGAGCTGCCTTATCAACAGTCAAACCAAAATGAACACTGGGCCTCAAGGCAATTGAATTGTATTAGGGTATAATTGTTAACTGAGGCAAAGTGTTTTATAAACGAGCTGGTATTTGTGTTGTATAAAAATGAATTGTAGTGTCGTATTGTACGCGAGAGCGTCTTAAGAGTTCATCTTAATATAACAGAGTCATAATTACCTCCTTATAAGTCCATTACGTCGCTGAGGGATTTAGATAAAGTTTTTTATCAGTTGTTGGAATGCTATGGCGAGGGGCTAATAAACGTTAGAATGTGTCGCAACGTTGCACATGCCCTAAACAGTCTGTGAAGTTTTTTGTTTTAATTACTGATACTTCTTGGTGGTAATTCTGTGTAATGTTATGTGTTGGTTTACTGAAGTTGTGTTTTATTGTGGCGCAAATGGAAGTGCTAGAAATATAAAGGGCTGTGATTGTTAAACTAAATTAAATATGTTTTATGTAATTGAAATTTGAGAACCTCTGTCAGAAAAAAATGTTGTTTTAAGGTTACCATTATATTTTAATTAGACTTTTTCTATTAACAAAAACACTGACATATATTGCGTATTGTGAATCCTAGCAGAGCCTAAATTAGCAAAAAAGTCATGTTACTAATTATTGTTTTTATTATAAACTAGCTGAGACCCGCGGTGTTACCCGCGTTTGTTGTGATAACCGCCTAAAAAAAGTAGCCTAAGTTACTCCTTATGTCATCAGCTATCTGCCAGTGAAAGTCCCTTCGAAATCGGTCCAGCCGTTCCAGAGATTACCCGGAACAAACAGACAGACAGACAAAAATTGTAAAAAATGTTATTTTGGCATATGTACCGTGTAAAAATACATATGCATTTAGTAAAAAGCGGTTATTTTAATATTACAAACAGACACTCCAATTTTATTTATTTGTATAGATTTACATAGTAGGTACGTGTTATATAGACTGATAGGCATTTACACGTTCTCAATACTTAACAGAGCCATAACTTTTTCAAAACCTTCCGGCCTGACTAGTAATGTCTTTACTTGGCACCAAAAGTCGGTCTTATCATAACTTTCACGCACCACTTAGCAAATGGGGGACAGGCGATACCGAACCCATGTTTTTTTTTTGTTAGCTAACTCTGTTCCATTATTTGTTACAATGTGTTATTTAAATTGTGGCTGAAAGTCATAGAAAAAGGTTAAACATTAATAATATTAACTTTTCAAATATATTATCTGTAGAGGACGTTCGAAATACAAATGAAAATCCATGCATTTGAATGTCGAATGACATTTAAAAATTTGACAAAGACAAATGTCAAAATTGACAGAATATGTGCGGATCACTGACATCTTAATAATTCAAATTCATTCTTATGCAGTTAAAAGACGTAAGCAGGTTAAAGTATTTTTGTTTATACGCAGTATTATTTAGCCAGTTAAAGTGTCAATTTTCAAAATAGAGCGGCCGGTTTAACAGTCAGTAAAAAAGTTACTGAAGAAATGCGCTTAACAAATTTAATCGCTACATAGGATAGACATATTTTATTTTATTTCACATCACATCAACAGCCTATAATAGTCCACTGCTGGACATAAGCCTCTCTTTAGAAAGGAGGTTTTGGCCTACTATACCACGCTAGCCAGACGGGTTGGTATAGGGTTTGTTTCAAGTTTTGTTTCTCTTTGCAGTGCTGTTGTCTTGCGAAGTTTTTATTTACTTTCAATTATTTATCGAAACACGGAATTACAGGGGTTCTTGCCACCACACGTGTACATTAAACACATATGTATACCGTGTGTGACTTACCTAATTGTATTAGAAATTTCATCAAACCATTCGACAAATATGAAGCAATCTATTTTATATGTGAAAATAGAATCCGTTTTATGGGTATTCTATTCTTTCTTCATTTCCAGTGGATTTAAAAAATACCTGTGATACGATTATTATTACTTCGATTCGATGACTTTATTGTTTCTTATTCGATGTTGTGAATGGAGTAATCGATTAATTTCGAAATATCGGAGCTCATTCATTAAACTTACGCCTTTTTACTTACGCGTTTTTATTACCATAATGAGTTTACTGTTGCTGAATGAGCAGTCTTTGTCATTCTAACTATGAATGAACCGCGTGTTGCAAGTTTGATTCCCGCGCTGAATTATAATTTGATTATGTCATTACCGGATGGTATTGAGTCATGTGATGATTTGTTAAGACTTGATGGCAAGCAAGCAAGAGTAAGCGGTATTTTTCCTTCTCTTCTACCATTTTAAGCTTCTTTATTACCGTCTTAGTATTATTAGAGACCATCAGTCTTGGTTTATTAAAAAATAGTATATTTTAACATATAAACTCACTTCATAGTTTATTTAAAGATATGATATTTCATTTTAGATTCATAAGACTTAGACAAAAAGGTTTAGTGTATAATTATAGCAAACAGTACGCTAGTACTTCTTTATAAGAGAATTTCCAATGATCTATATTTACGCGTCTCATTGAATTGAGATTTGTCTACGGGTATATATTGATAAGATATATGTAGGGTCCTTAATATTTCATGATATTTTAAATCAAATCAATCGTTTTTACTAAGTTTATCTTTTTTACTTACCATTTATTCAAATATAAAGCCCAAATACAAATAAATGTGCCTCTAGGGCGACATTGCCCGCTTGACTGTACAAGGTGTGCACACACATCGTGACTCAGTCGCTGAGCCATAAAATCGGCCAGATAACGTATCGCATGTTTGAACAGACGAACAAACGTTACACATATGTATGTATATACAATTGGTCATGGACTACGCTGCTCTGTTAGCACACAGACTATTTACTAGAATATAATTAACCCTTACCATTGACGTGTCACATTTAAATTTTTTTTTCTCTCTTTACAGAGACTTGCCAGAAGAAATGGTGTCAAAGAAGAAGAGTCTAATTGGTACTGGGATCCATCCCCCCAGTCTTCGAACCCTCTTGAACGAGATGCCGATAACCACTACAAAATACAAATTCGAGCGCTACAAGATGAATTATCCACCTTGAAAGAAAGAGACACTGTTGATTTAAGACCCGACGAGGAGCTAAGGAGGTTAAGGGAAGAAAACAAAAATCTAACGTCAAATTTGGAAGATTTGGACAGTCAGCACCAACTAGCTATGGAAAAGCTACTAACATTAAAGAAAGAATTACAAAATAATTTTGAGAGTCTAAAACAAGAGCATGAAGATCTTAAAAATACAAACGATGAGTATTCTAACGAAGTCAAAAAATTACTAGCGAAAATTGGGGAGAGGGATAGAGAATTAGAAAATCTTAAAGCAACAAGGTCTGATCACGAAACTTTGTTACATAAATATCAAAATTTAGAAAGAATCCACGGTTTGCTCAGAGAGAACGCTGAAAAGTTTCAAGAAGAGAATCAAGAGTTACATGAAGAAGTGTTCAAGCTGCAAGAGAAGGTGACAAAACTAGAACACGATATAGAAGTTGTAAACAAACCATCTGAAACATCTGATATGGTTCCTAGGCAGACCTACGACGATCTTTTAAAAGAAATCAATCATCTGAAAGACAGACGAAATTCAAATCAAATTCACTTAGACGAAGTCAATATTGACGACAATGCTAAAAGTGTGATTGACTCTCTTAGGCGAGAAATCACTGAGCTCAAACATAAATTATCTCAAAAAGATAGTCAAGAATGCAATGAAAATAAAACCATAAGACCAGAAAAAGTAATGCAATTATACAACAAATATGTAAACTTTGAACTCCCTATCGATTATGTGGGTGAGATACCTTCAGCTGGAGATAATATAATTCTGTTTAAATTAGAAAGTGTATTTAAAACTGTACATTCCTTCAAAAAAGAAATAGACGTTTTAGAACATAAGTTATCAGAAAAAAGTCTTAATGTTAATCACTTACAAGCTCAAATAGATGACCTTACGACTGAAAATGATTTCTTAACAACTGATATTCGGCACGTAGAGAGAGAACTAAGTGAAATGAAGAAAAATAACGATTTCTTGATATCTGAAATAGCAGCCTTAAAAAATACATCCAAATTAGAGCCAATCATAGAAACACACGAAGAGAATAACTTAGTCAAGTTGGAAACAGAACTAGCAGATTGCAATAAATTAAATAAAAACTTTGAATCTGAAATACAAAGGATAGAAAAAGAATTAGAAGAGGTTAGAACCGAGAAAATATCACTGAAAGAAAGTTTGAATGATTTGAGGCATAAATATACAACCATGTTAAGTGAATTTGAAATGTGTAAAAATCAAACAAAAGAAGTTGAAGAACTGGAAAATAGTGCTAAAGACAAGGAATCTGAGATGTTAAAAAAATCTATTAATGAAGTTGATGATCTCAAGAAACATGTTCAGTCAGCAAATGCTAAAAACGAACAGCTTTCTATAGATAAACATGTACTGGAAAACGACAAGGAATTGCTTAAAAAACAGGTAGCTGATCTAAAACACAGTTTAGAAGAAAAATCGGTTGCGTATAAAGAACTCGAAAGCCTTAAATCATCTTTGGAAGAGAAAGTATATGATTTTGAAAGCCAAGTAGACGGAATTCTACACCATGAGAGGGATGTCAATAATACCAGAGCACTTTTAGAAGAAAAAGTGGCATTGTTAGAGAGAGAATTGATATCACTTAACAATACAAGTAAAATGCCTGAACTAGAAATAATAGTTACAGAGAAAAACCTGCTCGCTGTACAAAACTCGACCCTTTATGAAGAAATTGCTCAGCTTAAAAAACAAATTAAAAACTTAAAACGTAATCATCAAGCTCTTTCGAAAGAGAACAGTGAATTAAAAAGTAACAACGAAGAAGAAATAAAGTCATATCAACACACCATCGAACAATTGAATACAAAAGTAATTGAACAAGATGTATTAAGTAAGGAAATCATTCGTTTAAAAGCCGAAAATCAACAGATTCTTGACAGAAAAGTGCAGCTTGAAGCAGAATTATCAGCCACTGATTATAAAATTGTAAATTTAGAGCAGGAATTCGAAAAATTGGTAGCCGATCTCAATGAAAAAGATACGCTGATCGATGGTCTTAATTCGAGCCTAACCAAAAATCAAGCTACATTATCTAACACAAATCAAATAGTAATTGATTTAGAAAACAGTCTTGCAGTTAAAAATGAAGAACTTAATCGTATTAGTACAGCGTTACAAGATGCTTCACATAAATTAAATGACAGTGCATCCATATCTAATGTTAGTCAAGAGGAGCTGAAGAAATTACAGAATGAAAAAGAGGAAGATAGTAAAAGAATAACTTCACTAAATGATGAAATCCAAGCAAAAAATACTCAAATCTCGACATTGTCATTGCGTCTTGAGGAATTAGAAAATGATTGTTCAAAAAACCAGACTGCGGTAGATAATAAAGACAAAGAAATAAAAGAACTACGTCAATCAATAGTAGAATTAACAGATAAAGTGAATACTAAAGAGAATATAACACAAGAAGATTACGCTAAAATGGCTCAAGAAAGAGAGATGCTAATAGCCCAACTATCGGAGTACAGAGATGCTCTTTTCTTGAAAGAAAGATCTTTAGAGGAATTCAAAGAAAAGCATGAACAGTTAGAGCAGATGAAAAATGAATTTAAGACTCTTGTAGATAAGGCGACTACTGAAAAATCAGAATTAATAAACTTGATAAATTTAAAACACAATGAAAGTTTACAATACCACAACGAAATACAGAGATTAAACGGTGTTATTTTGGAACAACGCGATGAGTTTAAAAAAATAATTGAAGACAAAGATAAACATATACAAAATTCTACGGAAAGTTGCGTAAATTGCGATAACCTAAAGGTGACACTTAAAGAGAAAGATGAAATAATAATCACTTTAAACCTTAAAGCGAGCGAGTATGACAAAATGAAAGCGGAGTTGGCGAGCACTGGCGAAGCTGCAGCACACTTGAAGGAGAGATGTGAGAATCTAGACAAAAGCTTAGCAATACAGCTGGAAGCAGTGAGAACATTGACGACACAAAATGCACAGGTAAATATCCATTGATTGTTCGCTGTTTTATATTTTTATTTGAATTATGCTCATCCTTATATGAGATTTACGCTATTGTTGTACAGTGAAGTTATAATATACCTTCACTGTACAACAATAGCGTAAATCAGATGCGACAAGCATATAACTGTTATATGTTTGTCGCATCTTACATCTTATATTAAAGGAAGGCGCAAGACAATTATGCTCCTTATACGATGAAATTGTGATAAATAAGGACAGTGGTGTAATATTTTCGTCACTTTTTAGTTGTCAGAACAAGGACAAAATGCAGAGAAAGAGTTGGAAAGATTACGACGCCATCTCGTGGAAACAGAGGAGAATTATACACAAGAGTTGATGGCCTCAGAACAGAAGCTGACCGAGTGTCAGTCGAGGTTACACCAGGTTGAAGAGAGAGCTAAGCAGACAAGTACCGTGTACACCAGCAACAGGTAATACTGCTTTAGAATCAATAAAAAGTGTTTTTGAAAAATTCTAATCAGAATGTTAATATTTATCTACTAAATTAATCTTTATGAAAACTAGAATTTGAGTGGTAGGCCGGAAAGAGAGATCTCTGATGGTTCAGTGATACGAAAGACTTTAGAATAGTATTTGCAAATATAACATCTTTAAATTTTCAATATTCCAGCATCCGCGCGAACCAAGAAGTGGAAACACTTCGCAATCAAATCAAGCTGTTAGAGAAACAACGTGACGAGGTCCAAGCTCGGCTAAGCGAAGCAGAAGACGCGAAAAACAGAAGCGAAGCAGCGCTTACAAACTTGCAAGTGGTGCTTGAACAGTTCCAACTAGGTAAATGTTTAATAAGCAGTTTTTTTTTTTAATTTAAATGGACACTGATATTTGTGGTTCACTAAAACATTTCTCAGTTTTAAGACTAAGAAGGGTTTTCCTTCCTTTCCTTCTCCCAATTTACCTTAATTCTTCCCGCCTTCAAACGGTAAAATCTCAGGGAGAGTTGTCGTCAGGCAGGCCATAAAAATACGCCAAAAAGCCCTTTTCAATATATAACACAATGTTAATATTCCTTTAGCATCCTTTTCCATATATTTACTAAATTTTTTTTTATATCAGTTTACTAGTATCCGTAACTGTGACGTCACATAGCAAAATTTATCGACTATGTAGTGGACCAAATACTAAATTACACTGAAAACATTGACCAAAATCATTTTTATCCTAGACAAAGAACGCGACATACACTCAGCTACTGAAAAAATCAGAAACAGAATGGAGGACCTTAAATATCAGAATAACGAACTGCACAAAGAGATTGAGGCACTGAACAGGAAACTTGAGGAAGCATTAGCTGGTTTGCAAGCAGCTACCAGACTTGGAGATCAAGTCGAGACAAAGACGGCTCAGATCAATGATTTGAAAGACCAAGGTAAGGATTAATTTAGTTGGTAGATAAAACCTCGATGTGTTATATTGTAGAAATTCATTGTTTTTTTTTAATTACCTTTAGAAATAATGTCATTAAAGAATAGTTATACTCGTACTAGCCGTGTCCCGCATCCAATAAAAAACCCCTCATTCAAATCTGGCTCTTGGCGCTATTGCCTTTACTTTTCTATTGGATGATACGTTCATATTGATATTGAGATGATTATAATAATGAAACCGATTGTTTTATCTAGTTTATTGAATTGTGGTGCATGTTAATTCCTTTACTACTTAATAGTGAAAGTTTATATTGAATGTAATAAATTTTTGTAAATCTTTAAGATGGTCTAAAGAAATACCTCGTTTCAGTCGTGAAGATAAATACTACAGTCCATAAATGCATTTTGTGCTCGAGAAGTTTACACATTTAGATTGAGGTTTCGGTGTGTTGCTCAGTAATAAACTTGACTAAAGATTTTGGAAGCTTATAAACTACAATGTGCTCACAAATAAAACTATATAATCATTTTATGTGCGAAATATCTTTTTGAATTTCGAACTCCCACTATTTGTCAATAACTGCTTGCAGAAAAAGGCTTTTCATTCTCGAAACACAAAAAAGTGTATCTTAAAACTTTGGCTGCTCCTTTTTGTTTGTCGTCGCGTCGCATCAAAGTCTCGAATGAAATATCTGAGTCTACTTTTTCTGAAAATTATAATCCTGGAACGTGTAAGAGTAGAGCAAACAGGATTTTTGTTTTTCTTAGTCTTCATCGTGACTTTTGATCACATGGGTTGAAAGAGAAGCGCCTGTTCCATATACATATTGTGGGATTTAATTCAAGTGCAGATAAGCATTTGTATAGATTCATTACATATTTACACTAAGTGCAATCGTGGACTGTAATATTGCTTATGTTATTTGATTGGTCTGTCTTGGATAATAAAATTATTTGTTGATTAATGACTTTTATCGCGAATAAGTCGGTAGAAACCAGTTCCGTGGTACATCCTTTAGTTAGCCTGTAAGAAGTAGAACATCCAAATACCGGTGCCTGGCCAAATATCAGCTGGTAATTCTGGGGTGTTTTCGCCCAGGCTACTAGTTGGTATGAAGTCAGGCTCGGTGCGCACGATTCCCCGTCTAGATAGACACATGTAAGTTTTATGTTGAATGTTAGCTTAATTGTGACCAGAGTTTTTTTTTAATTTGGCTGTTTACACGTGTTGTCGTGCTGTTTTGTGTGTTTATAGAATAAAAAGCACTTTTACGTTACGTTATCCAGAATTGAAACTCCAATGAGATATTTTAATAACTCGTATGTGCACAATAAAAAGGATTTGCTAACGAGTTAATATGCTAGCTTTTTCAGACAGGGAACTTATACTGAATCTAGTCAATTTAATCTTCAAGATATTTTTAAATAAATCAAGCGGGTAATTCAGACTCAGGAGTTAATTATGCTGATACAACAATTCACTAATTTTTAACCTAAATATGAGTATATATATTTTTTTACTACAAATTACATAAGATTTATAAGAACTAAGTTATTACTTCTAATATCTCAGTTCTTACAAATCTAAAAAAATTCTACCCTAGAATTTCTTCTATAGTTGCGATATTAAAAATATATTACAGGTTAGCTAGCTTATCGTTCGACAGTCAAGAACCAGCGCTTACTACCGCCTACTTCGATTTAATCTCATTTGGTAACTGTGAGGTTTCCGAACGATGCGATTTTTGTCATCTGGCGCTGACAGATGTCATGAGGCAGATGCACTAGTCGCGCGACACTCAGATTACCATATGGGGTTTGATTGAAGGTTATGGCTTCACATCGTGTCGTCCTGTGTTTTTTCATTTTTTTTGCGCTTTGATTTTTGTCCATGTGGATTTTCATACATTGAGATTTTTGAAATTAGTAATAATATTTTACTATTATAATACTTTTGAACCAAATGTAACAATAACGAAAGTCTCAATGGCATTTTTAAGCACTTGCAAGTTAATGTCTTGCAGCACATTGTTTTGTTCTAGCCTGTTTTGTGAATGTTTAATATGTTTTCAATTTATTTTGGATACGTAAATCTACAATAATACTTATTTATTTTTACTGAAAAACTTTTTTTTGCCAAATGCCAAATGAACTTTATATAAGCTCTTATCCAAAATAAATTGTTTTATTTATTTTGAATGTTCCTGACGTCGAAGAGTAGAATTTAGAAGACTTCGTAGATGCCGCATTGCCTCTGAGTATTACTTCAGGTACTGGTGGAATAAGATAAAAGGGACCGGAGGTCTCTCCCCAACTAAATATTTAATTAATGTTCTATTTACAATGCTTTTTATTCGCTAACTTTTAAGAAAGTGGATTTACTATGAGGGTATTATCAAATACCAATATTTGTCCTGTCAATGGCAGTGTATTATCTACTACAAAAATATTAGAAAAAACGCCGTGCGGTTTGTAACTATGAGGAATATTAGTTACCTTGAACTTACAATTAACTAAATCAAGAAATATTTTGGCTAAACCGCAATAACAAATTAAAATCTACATGGATGATATTATAAGATATACAAGTGCTCGCAAAGGTCTTGGGATTAAAATACAACTAGATTCTAGATGCTCTTATATCTTATGTGGTGTGAATGTTTAGTGAATCAAAAGCTTAAACTTACTTATTCCAAGAAGGTGTAGTGTGAGTGGCAATCGGTCCCCTACCCAGTGACTGAATAATACTTTGAGGTCGTGTACGCATGTCGACGTGCGACTTATGAAGATGTCTTGCTGCACGGTAAGAGTAGAAGTGTGTTATTTCTTTGATATAAAAATTAAAAACTTTGAATCGATTGTGATTTTATTTAATTGTAGAACTATGTGTAATTAAAAATGCTATCTACAATGACTGCATGTGTAAAATAATTTATAGAATTTGTCTTCGTCAATTTACCATTACACAAAATTGTCTTTCAATGACATCAATAATGTTTTGAACTATCAACGTATATTTTTTTCGGTGATACAGTACAGTAATACTTACTGAGTTTTATTTTTAGCTTGCCATGTTGTCAAACGAGTTTCAACAAAAAAAAATCCTAGACTACGTAATTTTGACTATAACAGTTCTGTAGCAGTTTTTAATCGATGTCAAAAAAAATTGATTTCATTATTCTTTGTAAGAACGTAATATCTTCTGTGTTAGTCTTTGTTATTTATATACTGACTCTCTCTTTATATTTGCACAGTGAAAACCTTACAAACATCAGTCGCGGCGGCGGAAGAACGGTATTACAACGCGATATCCAACCAGCAGGACAAGGTTGACAAGAATCTTGTTAAAAACCTCGTCATCAACTATGTGCTGAACTCTGCTGGTAGCCACATCAACAAGTAAGTAATTGTAGCAACTCTTTTTATAGTATAGGGGAGGAAAACAAGCAGACGGGTCAGCTGATGGTAAGTGCATAGCGTCATCGCCGCCCCTGGACACAACTTAAAAGTCACAAGTGTGTGGCTACCATTTTAGTCTCTTCTCCTGCACTGCACACTGGTTTTCTTTGAGGCTGTGGTATCACTCCGGTCGAATCTAGCCCATATATGCCGAAGTATGGCTCTTTCAAAATAATCATTTATATAATTAAGTTGGCTATCAATTTTTTAAAGCCCAGTCTAGAAAAAGTATACTAAGAAAGTTATTCAGTAATTTTAGAGTTTTTAGGTGTGAGAATAAAACAAATGACGAGGGCTAGCATATACAGCTAGGCTAGCTATCATCATCATCATCATCAACAGCCACAACAACCATTTACTAGTCCACTGCTGGACATAGGCCTCTTCTTAGAAAGGAGGTTTTGGCCTACTACACCACGCTGGCCAGACGGGTTGGTATAGGGTTTGTGTCAAGTATTCCTTCTCTCTGCAGTGCTGTTGTCCTGCGTAGTTTGCTCCCTTAGTCGCCTTTTACGACACCCACGGGATGAATAATAACGACCCTGTGTTGGAAAATATAAACTAGATTTGCCATTTACTTCTTTGTAGTTATGTATTATTACTAAATCATTATTTACATAATTTTTAAGTTATCATTATTAAACTTAAAATACAAGGAACTATTGCAAAGAGAAGGAAAACTTGCAACATACCCTATATACCAACCCGTCTGGCCGGCATGGTATAGTAGGCCAAAACCTCGTTTCTAAGGAGAGGCCTGTGTCCAGTGGACTGTTAAAGGCTGTTTATGATGATGATGAAGTCAGGTAAAATTAAATTAATTTTACGGGTGCATTATGTCAGTCAGTGCTGTATTAGCCATTGGTAAGACCAGACGTGTTGGTTTGCAGACAAAACAGTGAATTGCCTTAAATTTATTTTTTTCTTTTAAAAAAGAAAACTCCCGCACTAAACATTCATTCAAACGGACACAAAGAACACCCAGACTCAGAACAACAATTTGTGAATCACACACAAGTGTCGTCCCATGTGGGGATCGAACCTTCAACACTCACCGCAGTAGGAAGCGGCGAGGTGACCGCTTAAACCACTACGCCATCTGTACAGTCGTACTTCATTTCTATAAACCAATTGTTTGCAGAACTCAAGTCCTACGGGTCCTATCAACAGTTCTAGACTTCAACCAGCAAGAATGTGAGCGACTGGGGCTGGTCCGATCGGTGAATACCTCAGACAGTTTAGCGGCGGAATTTGTCAAGTTTTTACAGAACGAGTCTCGACCACGGGCCCCTTTACCGAACATGATGACCCTGGGCCAAGGCAGTAGTAGTCGAAGTGCCACTCCTAGCTCCAGAAAAAATTCTACCATAGGTAAGGTTGACTGAAAAAACTGAAAAAATTATCAGTTTTGTAATAATTATTAATTAACACTAGTTTTAAATAATATATTGACAAATACAAGAAAACATTGCTAAAATATGAAGGATATTGTATTGATATTGTCATTTGTGATGATTTGTTCGTGAGTTTGTTTTCCCACCTTATTCTTTTTGAAAACGCACGGTTTCAAAACGACTCAGACAGTTATTTGAAATCTAGTTTTATAAATAATTTACATTTGACACAGCAAAGTTACGAGTTTACCAAATTCACGATTTCTAAGTTTTCTGAACAATTACATGAAATAAGTATATTAAATTTTGATATTCACCAAAATATTAAATAATCGGTTCAACTTATTTATCACTGATAGCATTTTTAAATACTAAGTCAAGGGAATTTAATAATTTCAGGTCAACATCCAAACTTCCAACCAACAGTAACAGGCCATAGTCGCAACCCATCAACTGGTTCCAACAACCTATTATTCACCAGCATCGACACCATGGACACCGCATCACAAAGATCTCGTGACTCGGACAGAACGGAACCCAAAGTTCTCTCCCCCAGCTTAGACACAGGCGTCAATCAGACGAGGAATACAGAAGGAGCCATATTAAAATCTGTACTCAAAGATATGTGATCATATAGTCATAAGCTGTTTCACGTTTAGCGTACTGTAAGCTAACATATTATATGCTAGATAGGTACAGCTACTCAAATCCGCCAAACTATCACGTACAATTTTTAAACCATTCAGTGACTGTACAGTATAAAATAAAATTTGTTTGCCATTCCGCTGATTGTTGTCATTGACACATTTAAAAAACAGTGGCTAAAATATTGTGTAAATCTGTTGTAAAACTAAGTCGAACACCGAGAAAATCAATAAATAATTGTGTTTTCATGGACGCCATTTTGATTTTAATGTAGGTGCACTGTAGAAATTAAGGATAAATCATTATTCGGTATAGAACATTATGTTGCCAATTATAAAAATAATTTTGATCACTGGAAACCGTCTATCAATAAAAAAATACTTCAAAATGGCGTCTTAAGTAAAAAAAATCAAAATGTCAATGTGATGCCATGTCATTGGCATCTTCTAATAAAAAATAATAATCAAAGTAGCGAGTTCTTCAAATATTAATGATTAATACATAACACAACCGATATTATTCTTTTTAAATAAAATATAATGGTGTATTAAACTTGTAGCTGTGTATTAATATTCTATTCATAGAGAACTATGACAATGTCCATTTTCTAACGATTTTTCAGAAAAAATCCTAATAATATTTAAAAAAAGAATTCAGGTAACATATCCCCGCCAGATTGTAAAACTGGATCCATATTATCTTTAATAAATAATATATTATTCTTTCCATAAAATAATGAACGCCTGCTTATTAAAATATAGTATTTTACCGCAATAAAATTATTTATGATAAAAATTTTTACTGCTATAATCATCAGTTCAATAAAAAATAATAATAATGATTCTCTATTTTACGTAAGTAGTTTATTTAACACAAAACAGATTGCTAAACGATTTCATTTGACAGATCACGCAGACCTGTCAAAATATTTAAAATAATATTACACTATTCAGCAAAGTTTTTGAATTATTAATGAAGTTAACATGAAAATTTGTAATTTTCTTACAGCAATTAGTGTGGTGTGGCTTTCTTTGCACTCATGTGATATGTAAATAAGGCCTAGAGTATTATGTTCCTTGTCTCCTTTCCTAGTACCAAATTATAACGCAAACTAAAACATACCCTGATATTATATTATTAGTAATTTTTTTTATTGATTTCGTTACACAGTGACACTTACACAATCACAAAATGGCGGCATTTGTAATGTCATCAAAATGGTTGAACACACATGGTTGGGATAAAATGTATTGTTTGTGTTTCAATATGCATTTAATACCTAACTTCTATTTGTAATAATTGTATCATTTGTGTCGATATTTTGTGCCTTATTATTGTTTAACTGATGACCAGCAGCAGTGTAACTGTTTGGGGGACATAGTTGCCTCTGATATACTGTCAATTCATAATTTTAATATTTTCTTTTCTGAAATTTCTTTTGTCTTCTTATATTTTGGTTCCTATACTTGTGCGAAAATATAATTTAATATGTGGTTATACTAAGAACTAAAGAAGTGTATTATATTTCTATCAAGAGTCGTATTAAATTTTTTACATATCATTTGCATGGAATCAAAGTTAAGTCTTATTATTAAAGTTGGTAATTTAGGAGCGTGCGTTCAACTTGGCCCATTAAAATCTGTTCTCCTCCGTTTGTCTAACGTAACTTTAAATAATAATATAAGGTACGGTGATTTAAACATACGTAAAAGTGAAATTCAACGTTGTCCTAGATCAGATGTGCTACGCTACTGTACCGCGCAATGAAAAGTTTTGCGCCAATATGTATATGTAGCTTCATACCTAGTCGCAGGTTCCTCCTTTTTCTTGGAGGGACATAATATCCACTTCCACAGTACATACAAGAAACCTTTGGGGAGGGGGGGGGGGAGGGGAGATAGTTGGAGAACGTCCATTGTAAACTTAGCCAACTTTAATATTATACGGTTAATGTAAACGACTCCAAATCTAAGTAAATGTGTTATGTCTAAAGAAAAGTGCTTTAGATATTGCATGTTTTATTGTTTTTTTTTATTACTGGTCATCAGATATACAGACTGTTACAAAAAAGTGTGGTCAAATTCTAACATATAGTCTTACTTTAAATAGTTCTTTAGTAGGAAAATAATTTTGTTTTGGAAAATTGAAATGAAAATTCGTAATATCTTGTTTAAAAATTTATATTTACATGAAGGTGCACATTTTTGACCTATATATTACTAATTTTTAATTGCATTTTTTTATGGTTTTATTTTATCTCTATTTTCATAAAAAAACAGACTTTTACTAACATACTTGGTGTTAAGTACTTGTAGTTTTCTCGATATTAGCTCTGTCTCTTCACTTCACCAACACTTTATATTTACGACCCTTAAAATTGACCACGCAATTTTGTAACACCCTGTATAGTATCTTAATGTTAAGTTGTATAGTACTTGTACATTGTGTAAAATAATTATATGTTTTTTCATTTAATTAATTATGATTCTAAATTAAATTATAGTATTGTTAATTATAATTCATAATATTAAACATGGTTCACCATTTTGTACAAAATTGTAATGTTCTATTGTAATTAAATCTTTTATTCAAATAATTTTAAATAATTATAATTTCTGCTAATTAAAAATAATTTAATAAAACAATATGTAATGACGTGCTAAGTTGTGCGTGTTTTAATATTATATTCCCACATTTAAAAAGGAGAGGCCTATGTCCAGCAGTGGACTAGTATAGGCTGTTGATGATGATGATGACATTTAAAAACGGTCTCCCTATCCACTACCATGTCACAAACAAAATAATCTCTACGGTAATACTCATGGTAACAGATTGCTTACCAAAATTTAAACTCTATTTTATTCAAAATAGGGTCCTTATTGCTGTAATCACCTTCCTTTATCACCTTAGTTTCAACTAAAAAACACAGTTTTTTAGGATGTACCACAACTAGGCTTGGCTAATGACATTTTTTTTTATTATACAGAGATATATCTTAAAATAAAATAATTTAAAATTAAATAGGCAATTTTGTTGATCCTCTTGCGCATTTGCAAGAGTGCAAAATTAAAAAAAATATTTTTTCTTTATTTCACACTGATTGGTGATTCTAAATTCATATACTCAAATTATAATGTTTATTAGGTTTCTAAAGGTATTGTCTATTGCCACTAATATGACGTTCACACAGAATTTGGCGCCGTTAGTTTTTGACACTTGTCTATGGAAATGTAGGCACGTCACTTCACTTTCATATCGTAGGTATCTATGTAGGTTGCACCAGGAACTGTCTTTCTAGGGTATACCTGGTTCCCCGGCTATTAGTACCCGAGACGGCGTGCGGTTTTAGTCGGTTCGAGTCCGACATGCCACCGACAGGTGGTATCCGAGGGAATTTCCGCACGGAAAAAAAAAAAAAAAGGTATCTATGTAGGGACAAAAAATCTCCATGTCTTGTCCCTGTATTTATACTTCCATATTGAATTGTTTTTTGGCTGCCGTTGCCTAAGGACTCAATACTAGGTATTTATTAGTATTATAGTCAAGTATTTATTTAAAGTTAGCAATAGTTAGTTAGTTTATAATTTCCCTTCAAAACAGTTTGTTTTAATAAATTTAATATTGTGTTAAAATAATGCTGAAACAATAGCTTTTGTTTTTTTTTAAGGACATCTCCCGCATTAGTAGTATATTCTGTGTCGCAGGGGACTTTACTAACACACGAAACGGACCCAAAGAACACCCAGATTCAGAACAACAATTTGTTTTGAATCTGGGTGTTTGGATCACACAAAGGGTCGTCCCATGTGGGGATCGAACCCACAACACTCAGCGTAGAAGTAAGCGGCGTGGCGACGCCTTCCGTGCAGTCAGTTAGTTACCTGACATTAAAAGGAAATTTAGTTGTCCGACAAAAAATTCGGCATTTCGAGCCTCCACTTGGTCTGACGTTACATATTTTGCAATTTTACACCCAGAACTAAACATGAATGAAAGTGTTTTCAATTCAGTTTCAAAATTATTACTACGAGCGAGAACTTGCCAAGAAAGCCATCTAAAAGATAAGCTTAAGCCTAAAGATAAAATAGGTTTTTAATTCGTGTTTTGTGTTGACATGTGACGTTAAGAAGGTAATGAAAACAACCTTGCCTTATTACCTGCACCTTTGTTAACCTGATTGAATGTTACGTCATTTTTTATAGATGGATTTGGGCAATTTATCAGTTTCTCAAAATTATATTAAAGTATGTTCTAGACTTCTGATGCGATTTGAGGTACTCTACTATCGTAGCTTATACAGTTTGAAAAGTTGTAATAATCATTTCTCTGTTTCAATTGTAATTCGTTTAAAACTGTACATGTTTAAATTGTGAATATTAATACATTTATAATAATATATCAACCTGTTTATAACTATGTTGGTTGTCTAATTAATTGACTAGGGGAGTAAGCTGGTGAATGCGAGACGAGAGCGTTAAGAAAGGTGTGATCGGGCTTGGCGAACGGAAGTTGAGAGGAGATATAAGTTAGTGAAGATAGAAAGAGAGAGAGGTGCGAGCACACATTTTCTTTCTCTCATACCCAAGAAGTTTTACTTCAGTCGTATGGTCTAAAGCACACTCGTTTTTTCATTAGCTACACATACATTAAGGCTTGTCCACAACACCATGCTGCGAAGTCGTGAATGTGGAGCGGCACTATCACGGCACTTTGACGTGACGTGCTAATGCACGGTACGACAACGTTGCGGCGGAAGGACGCGTCGGACGTTGCGTCGTCGGAAACGTTACGTGGCTACTAATGCTACTATGCGCTTGCTCAGTTAATGTTTTATTTTGTTATAGCAATTGTGTCACTGACCCTGGTATAGCCACCATCATGAATTAATTTTGATAACACAAAGATTTAGTAGCTAATTTGTTGTTGTCAAAAGTTATAAGCGTTTAAAGAGGACCCTGCTGTGGTTAGTCTCCCCAGCAGGGCC